CCTTCCATGGTCTTTCAAGGAATTTGAGGAGTGCGAATGAGTGATGGAGATGTCTGCTCCAAGGAGGCAGGACAAGAACCAGGAGGGACAGTGCTGAGGGAAACGCCTAGGGCGGGGATGAGTCCTAGCTGTCCTCTTTCTCCCAGCAAAGCTTGTACATTGGAGCTACCAAGCACTGGTCTGTGACGGCGGTGCTGAGCTGGTAAGCTAGCTCTTGAGAAACGAAAGCTTCAATTTGCTTTTGCTAGTTTTGCATTTGCCTAATCGTGAGTTTAAGCTCCCAACATATTACTGAATGCACAACTAGTTAGAAATGCACTGTTTTAGGGAGCTGGGAGCTGCTGCAAAGCCTGCTCCAGCACACCACTGGCTGGGAATAAAGAAATAAATCTAAGAATAGGCTCCCCAGGACCAGCAGATGGCGTAATGGTTACATCTCTGGACTTCCATATAGTCAACTGCGGTTTGACTCCCAGACCCAGTGACTGAAAACTCACGCTGGGCATGAGTGTGTACACATGTGTGTGCCCAAAATCCCGAGAGAATGGAGAAGGGATTGTGGCACGGATCATCCCCCCCAGGGGATGACTTCTCATTTTCTGTCTCTCTAGCAAGTATGTGCACCCTATAGCAAAAAATCTCTCAAAAGAAAAGGAATGGGCTTCCCTACATATGATAATCTTTATCCATGGAGATTGGCCTAGCAGGCATAATGTCACTGTTTTAGTGTACTTTCATGGCAGCCTTCCCCACCATCTGGTGTGTCAAGGAAGACACTCCCCTTAAATAATGGGTTTTCAAAAAGTTCATGGAAGGGAACCAGCAGTTAGCGTAATGGCTATGTCGCTGGACTCCCACATAGTCGACCGTGGTTCATGTCCCGGACCCGGTGGCTTAAAACTCACGCCGGGCACGTGTGTGTGCGTGCCCAAGATCCCGAGAGGAGAATGGAGGAGAAGGGATTGCAGCGTGACCATCCCCCCTGGGGGGTGATTTCTCGCTTTCTGTCTCTATGTCTCTCTCTGTCTGTCTGGCGAGCGCACGCGCCCTACAGTGAAAATCTCTCAAAAAAAAAAAAAAAAGTTCATGGAACATGCATATGATGAAAAAACGATGCACCAATTTCAAATTTTGCACCAAAATAAATCTATATTTTCACTCCACTTTTTTTCTGAAAACTCTTTAGAGGCCCCTTATACACATCTCAGGCTGGAGGGCCTGCAGGATTACGCCATCTTAATTTTGCTCTTTGCCCACAGTACCAGCATGAGGCTTTGCTGACGGGAAGCACAGCTAAATGGCTGATTGCTTTCTTGGGGCACCAAAGCGAGGAGTATCTATTAAATGGATATATTAATATATACATGGAGAACAGGACAACTCAGACCTGCCACCCAACTCAGATGAGGGGAGTTCACCAGAGCTACAAGTGAATTTTGTTTTTAAAAAATTATTTTATTTACTTATTATTGTTTCTAAATTTGACCAGAGAGAGAGAAAGTGAGAAAGCAAGCTGCCAGGCCTGGGACCCGAAATGCAGTTGGCCATGCGGGAGTCCACTGCCTTAACCATACCACCTGCTGGCCCCATCACCACGAGTGAACTTTGACTGGCACAGGGTAGGCTTCTAGTAAAATGACAAAGCGTGCAGTTAATCTCCCATCCCCTCTTCACCCTCTAGCCAGTGCCCGCTTCCCTGGCCCACGGCCAGGTCCTCAGGACCGCCCTCAGTTCTGAATCTCACCAAGGGCTTCGGCGATGATGTAGAAAGGATACACTCCAATCTTCAAAACTGTGGGAAGCGGCCACAGATTCCCCCTTCAGAAAATGCTATGTTCTCTGGTTTAAGCTGAGCTTCAGAGAGTGTGGGTTCTGGTGCCCCTCAGGGTCTTTCCCCTACAGAGGAATCCTGGCTGAACCTTTGCAAAGGGACGTGTGAGAGAGAAACTGGGCACGACACACATTGGCAGGGAACACTTGCTGACTGCCACGCTCGCCAAGGAGAAGCAGCCAGGCTCCCTGGCACAGTGGACAACGCCAGCAGGAGGCTCCAGGCTCCCGTCTTGGCATGACACCGTGAATGTCATTGTCCCAGCCAGGCAGCATTCTGCTTCCATTGTGGAAAGAGGGCTGAGAGCACAGTTCCTATGAAAGCAGTAGACCTGGTCCCTAATGCATGAGACGGACATAGGCACACGCCCCTTCTTGCCACCCTTATTGTGCTATTCCCACCACAGAGATCACGACACTTCAAAGGTCAATGCTTTATTTTCTCTAGCTCCAGTGTTACAACTGTAGCAGCATTATCAGGGAGACCCCCACACATCAACACACTTGTCTCCCCTTCAAAGCGCTTGCAACAACAGAGGCAGAAACAATATTTAGGAAAGGCATTGAAGAAAAGTAAGGCCTGATGCTTGCTCACCCTTATACATTGTGCGTCTTTCAAGTAGGAAGCAGCAGGACATTTGTATTTCACAGACACAATCATCCTTAAGTAAAGTGAAATAAAACTTTATTGGTATGACCATATATCGGAGATGCAGCCTTGGGGGCGCTTGGGGGAAAGGTGCTTGGAGGGAAGGCATCTGCTTAAAAAAAAAAAAAATGGAGAGAGAATGTAGACCAGAAACACACAGGTTCAATCCAAAACTAAGAAACATAGTCATGACGATTTATCTCATTTGAAGATAATTATTTATTCTAAAATAAAAGTCTACAAGTGGTTGAACCTCAAATCATGGTCCAAGTAGGAAACCTACTGTGTGCGAGTACATGCACACTCTCGCACGCACTGTTAAGAGTAGTGCACTCAAGTGACGTGACCTGACTGCAGATGACACTCCAAAGACACTAGGGACCAAGGACATGCCAAGATGCTAGTAAGCTGGTCACTGGGGGGGGTGAGGCGAGGCCCATATTTTCCTATCTGGCACACTGCAATGTGACAATGCTGATCAACAACCAGACTGCAGCCTGCATGGGGGCCACGATACCAACTTTGAAGCTCAAGGCAAGGAGAAAATCAATTCCTACGAAATCAACCAACACTTACTTATATCTGTTCCATGTCTCCCAATTTTCAAAGCATTTTCGAATAGATAATACACCACCTCACAGCAATGCGGGTGAATAGGCAAGACAGGTGGCGCCCCCTGGCCAATCTATCTGTCATTACAAAGCAGGGAGAAGCCAGGCAGGACCAGCCCCTCTGACTTAGCCCCCAGTTCTCGCATCCCCCTAACCAAAGGAGCTTTCCCAGAGAAGTTAACAGTGTCTCTTCTAAATGCCACCTGGACCAAATTCCTGCAGAAAACAAGGCATTTTCTGCAGCAGTGTGGCACGTCTTCAGTGGGCAAAAGGAGCTAGAATGCTGTTTAGAGTTTGATTTCAATTCTACTAGAGGATTTAGGAGGAAACTTGACTTCTCCCTCCATTTGCAGAATTTATAATAATACAACTTAACACTACCCCAGGGTAGGTTTAGCGAGCAGATGAGCCTGGTCTCCCAGGGGCTATCTGTAGCCCTGTGTGGGGCAGAAGCAACCCGTGACTGGCTGCCACTGGGAGGGTAGAGGGTGGGAGGTAACTCCAAGGTGGGACAGGTCAGCAGCCACAGCCCACAGCGCAGCAGTAAGGCCACATTCAAGAGCACACATGGAAGGTGCCCAAAGTGGCTCTCCTAGCCCTGATTTGGAAAAAAACAAACAAACAAAAAAACAAAAAAAAAAAAAAAAAAAAAAAAAAAAAAAAAAAAAAAAAACAAAGGGGGAGGGGAGGGAATCAAATGAAAGTTGTTAGAAAAAATTCTCACAGCTATTAGGACAAAACCAAAATTGCCCCAAGGGCTCTGTGCACGTGGTCCCAGAATGAAAAGGCTGCAAGTACAACCTGAGCCTCCCCCAGGCAGTAACAGCACCCAAAGGAGTCCAGGCCTGAGCCTCCTGGACGAGCCCACATGGACCACGGCCTGCAGCGGCAGGTCAGAACCAGGCCCACCAATGTGAAAACGCCCCAAAGTCAGGCTCGGGGGAGAGCTCAACAAAGGGCTCTGGGAAGCCATTCTGTCCTCCTCTGGCGAGGGGTCGGGCAGCGCAACTGCTGTAGCTGGAGGAGACAGGCTTGTATCCTCTTAGTGACACCCTGGCGTGCACTTCTGTATGCACCCTGGCATACAGAAACCAAGGTATGAGAGCTCGCGTTCTCGGAGATGCCCAGACAGGCTGAGAGCTCTGGAGAGGCATCCCCTGGCCTGGGCAGGTGTAGGTCAGCTCCAGCAGCAGTGCCCAGCGGAGGGGTCTGGCTTGACCACTGAGCAGTGAGAGGCTGACAGGAATTAAGGGTTAGGACAGGGCAGGGGGGTAGACAAATGCCAGATATAGGCTTGCTGTGTTTTTAAAAACAGGAACTTAGGAAGAGAGTCAGTCAAGGTATACATAGGCCAAGTTACCTTAAGTGCCTGAGTTGAAAGGCTGATGCAGAAGTCAGTCCTGGGATAAAAGCAGAATTTGTCCTAACGGTCTGCCCCACAGGTAGACCAATACTGGCACACCCAGGGCTTCTAAGTGCTGAGCCAGCCAGACGTACATTCACTCAACAAGGGGAAGAAAGGTCTCAGGAGGTTTAAGACTTAGTCGCCCTAATTCTAGTGGGGCCCACTACCCTAGGGCATGCGCTGTCTCGCATCCACAATGTGTCACGTGTGTACACAACACAAGCCCGAGTGTCAGAACCTGATCTTTGTTCCTGGAGTTTTTAGGAAAGACAAAGGGTAAAGGCACATAAAGGCGACTGATTGGATTAAAAAAAAATAATTTAAAGGGAAAAAAAAAAGGTAACTGCAAGTCCTATATCATTATTTCACTTTTTTAAAAAAACGTACCTTTATCCCCCATGAAAAGAGAAATTCAAAATATAAACTTAACATTTATTAGTTTACATTCAAGTGACACTTCCATCTGAGAGGCTAGACACAATGTTAGGCCACGTTCATAGATGTACTACTTTGGTGTGTTTTTCACTTAAACCTGACAGTTTTTAGCTTTAAACCTGATGGAAGGAGTCAGCCCTCTTATTTTTAAAAAACAGCTCAACAGTCCCCGCTGTAATACTATGTGTCGACACGCACAATTACACACTCGGGTTCAAAAACTCCTACGTAGAAAAATAAAGGATAAACATTATCCATCTATTTTATACTGTGAAATGGAACTGTTATATACATAAAATTGTTTGCTTTAATGTCCTCCGTCACTGCTTGCTTCCCTCCTGTGGGATCTAAGGATCTAGGGAGGAGGCCACCACAGTGAAGCAGAGAAGCTACATTCCTCTCAGGGAAGGAAGAGAAAAAGCAATTTCTCATTCCCCTCCCAGGGTCCTTCCCATCTACCACCACCTCGATGTCCCCGCGGACGGCCTTCTGGGGAGAGGCTATCCTGTCCTCCCCTCTTCCGAAAGCATCAGGGAGCGGACGGCCCACTGAGAGCACCCTGCAGACGATAACCCGGGCACGTGGGCAAGGGGACAGAGGCACGCAGGGAAAGCCTGGGAGAATAAAGGCTCCTGGAAGCGCTCCCACAGCCTGTTCCTTTAGTATGGGGTTCGACTCTCCAGCTGGCGCTTTGTGAGGAAGTACTTGAAGAACTCATAGACGGACCAGGAAATGGCCGTGGAGGGGATCTGGTAGATGACTCGTGCCTGGATGCCCTTGAAGTAGCCGGACAGGCCGTTGAGCTGGTACACCGTCCGGAAAGCATTGGCCATGCCCGACAGCCGGCCGCTGATGTTGGCCAGCGAGAGTGCCATGTTCTCTTGCGTGTTGAGAAGGGTCTTACAGACGTCCAAGGGGGTGGTGGCGGCCGCAGCGAGGGCCCCGGCCCCCCCGCCACAGATGATGTGGGACTGCGGGTTGTAGCCCCGGTGAGGGTTGACCTGCTCCTGCAGGAACTCGTAGGTGATGAAGTGGACGGACTGGAAGGGAATGTTCATGGTCAGCTGCGTGGTGTAACTCCGGTAGAAGGCCCCCAACCCCTCGGTCCTCCACACTGTCCGGATGCAGCTGAGGGCTGACCGGTGCTGCGAGTTGTACATCTGCAAGCGCTGCTTCACAACTGCTGGGGCGCCGGGTAGGCCAGACGGGCAGCCAGTGGGCAGTGGTTGGTTTGGCCCCACCCCAGGTCGCAGTGACATGGGAAGCCAAGCCATAAAGAGAAACAGGCACGTTAGACACGCTGGCAACGGGCCCCAAAGAGCGAGCACACACACAGCCCCAGCCGGAGAAGCCACGGAGGGCCTGCTCCAGGTGTCACCAGCTAAAATTCCCTCTCTCCAGGACTCACTGGAGGAGCCCAGGAAGGTGACATCCCCCTCTATTTCTCCAGCCTAGATCTCGCTTATGGTGGCCTCGAACCAGGCCGCAACTTCAGGCTGTATCAGTGGATCTGACCTCCACATCCTGGCTGCCCCTGGCACTAACCTTCCATACCCACCACAAATCCGAATCCTGCCCCCCATAGCCTTCCGCCCTCCTCCATGCCCAACACATCTAGTCAGTGCGTGTCCTTTTTCTCAGAGGTCTGACTTTCACTTCCATATCATGGCACAGTTGGAACAGACACCAGAATTGGGTCTGTCCACAATAGCAACCTCCATTGAAGACTCCGGCTTTGTCAGTACAAAAGTAACTGGTGAGGCCTAGGATAAGAAGCAAATGGAGCTAACCGGGGACCCTTAGGCTTAGCGTTTTAATGGTCCTCACACAAGGCCCAATGAATACACCAGATACGCTTTTCTTTACTTTAAAAACGTTATCAAGACCTTCAGGCAGTAATGATGACAAGGAAAGGGGGAAAGAGGGGTTGGGCCTCACTTTTTTCTCCTTTAAAAAATACGAATAGGGGATGGCAGAGCAATGACATCGCTGGTCTTCCATATCACTGACAGGGTTCAAGTCCCAGACCTGGTGGCTTGAAAATCATGTGGGCGCATGTACATGCATGCCCAAGATCCCAGGAGGAGAATGGACAAGAGACTGCAGTGCGGTCATCCCCCCGGGGGATGATTTCTTGATTTCCCTCTCACTGTCTCTCTCTCTCTCTCTCTCCCTTTCTTTCTGGTGAGTACACACACTCTAAGGCAAAAATCTTTCAAATAAATATATGAACAAGGGGCCAGCAGGTAGCATAGTGGTTAAGATGCTGGACTCCCACACGGCTGACAGTGGTTTGAGTCCTAGACCCAGCAGGCATGTGTGCATGAGTACCCAAAATCTCGTGAATGGAGAAGAAATTGCACAGCTATTTCCCCTAGGGTGGAAGGTAATTTCTCACTTTCTCTCTCTCTCTCTCTCTCTCTGTCTCTTTGGTGACCACATGTGCCCAATAGCAAATAAATAAATAAAACCCTTGCTTGACTAACATGGGAAAACTAATCACTAACTAGATCCCTGTATGAATCGACTTAAACAAACAAACAAACAAACAGAAGCCCAGATAGAAAATATGTAAGTGTGGGACCAGCTGATGGCATAATAGTCACATTGCTGGACTCCCACATAGTCAACTGTGGTTCGAGTCCTGGACTAGTGGCTTGAAACTCACTCTGTGCACATATGTGTGCATGCCCAAGATCCTAAGAGGAGAATGGAGGAGAAGGGATTGCAGTGTGGCCATCCCCCCCTGGGGGGTGATTTCTCACTTTCTGTCTCTCTGTTTCTCTCTGTCTCACTGGTAAGCGCATGCACCCCATAGCAAAAGATCTCTCTAAAATAAAAACAAAACCAGTGTATCTACTGGATTGTTGGAAAAGTCATAATGCAGTTTTCTACGCATGCACCATGACTTTTCTGACAACTCAATATTTGGGGATTTTTAAGTTTTTCACTGAATTACTTCCTAGAAGGGTGGAGGGGTTTCCTTTCCCTCTCCCGCCTACCTAAGAACAAACACCTCTTTCCTGGCCCCAAAGCACTGTTTAAACACATTCATTATAGGACGAGCCAAGAGGATCCGTGAAGACAGGAATGTTTACTATAAAGATTATTTTTCTCTTGAGAAAAATAATGTGTATAGGATAAAACAGAACATAGACTGCCTTTCTTCGCCTTTCTTCCCCTGTTTTTGTGCTAGAGGGCACATATGCTCTCCAGAGACAGAGAAATAGAGAGAAAAAGAGAGATAAGAAAGCACCTTCCCATGGGGACTGCTCAAACCACAATCCCTTCCCCTCCATTTTCTCCATCCTGTTGGGATTTTAGGCATGCATGAGCATGTTTCTCAAGCTGCCGGATCCAGAACTCGAACTGCACAGTTGGCTATGAGACCTGGCTGACTTAACCACCAGGCCACACAGCCAACCCACGAGCTCTCTACTTTCTAATTGAAAAGTGACGACGCCGGGGATTCTTCAGCGGGTCTCATGCTGCATTGGAGAAGGAAACCCAAGTGAATGGAGCAGAGCGCCTTTCTTTACCTGTACATCTGGTAAACCTCGGCCTCCTCCCAAGATAAAGACTCCCTCCCCACCTCTCGATCTGATCTGTCCCCTCCCAGAAGGTCCAAACAAGTCTCCTATCTGCTAGGGCATAGGAGTTAACAGAGGGCAAACAAGAAATGTTAACCTTAAAAAAGAAATGCAGACTAACTTGCAACACGAGAGTTAAAACGTTGAAACTTTTCCCTGCAATTCTCCCTTTTGTCAAGGGACCATTTTCAGATGGGGGAGAGAGGTGGAGAGAGAGCCCCATCTCACCTAAGGGCCTCACCAGATGGAGAATGACCCAGCTGAAGGCATGCCTAGTACCAAGTCCTAATCTCAGGATGCCACGATATTTTTAAAACAGAGCCCAAGTCTACACAGCTGAGGTTTATGATACACTAAAAATTAAAATCACCATCATCATCACAATGCGAGGAAAGACAGCTAAAACAAAAGGGCCAAATGCTCACTTCTGAGACAGTGATGGTTCCAGAGTTTCAAAATCTTCTCTCTACGTTGCCTTATGTTTAAAATTTTCCATTCTCATTTCACATCTTTCTTTAAAAAAGCAAACTGAACACCAGCCCTGAATAACTGACCTCTGATGGGTACTTCCTCAATCTGCCCAGAGTTGCTAGAGGCTAACAAGCCCCCAGCGTGTGTGCATGTGTGTGTACACGTGTGTGCGTGTGTGTACACGTACCTGCTCATGCAAGTTTCAGGGTAGAGCATAAGTATGCGAAAGAATCACCAGGAGAGGCTGTTAAAACAGATTCCTGGTTTGACCCCGGAGACTCTAATTCACTAGCGGGAGGGGGGGGTGTAGAGTCTGAGAATTAGGACTTTTTTTTTTAAGAGGTTTTTGCTGTAGGGTGTGTGTGCTTGCTGGAGAGACAGAAAGTGAGAAGTCACCCCCTGGGGGGATGAACATGCAGCAATCCCTTCTCCATTCTTCTCTCAGTATTTTGGGCACACACACATGCCCAATGTGACTTTTAAGCCACTGGGTCCAGGACTCAAATCATGGCCGACTACATGGGAGTCCAGCAACGTAACCATCACGCCACCTGCTGGTCCTGAATATTAGACTTTCTAACACTTCCCAGAAGACACCAGTGCAGTTAGTCCGTGGACTATAAGTTGAGCAGCTCTGTTTGCAAGAACAGAGATACTATAAAGCTCAAAAGCTCACGTCCCTTCCTGAAGTCTACAAAACTGTAATAAAGAATTCAATTGTCCTGTATGCTCTGACTGAGAGCCAGGAGACCCCTTGTCACCTTCCATCACATCCCCTTCTCCCCCACCACCTCTTTTCCTGCCCTTTTGCAAGTCCCCTACTGCCCCTCCCTGGGACCATGAAACATTACCTTCTGCTGGATTCATTACCGCATCGTGGAGCAGGGTGGCCATACTCCCAGCTATCCCTGCAAAACAAACTCCAGAAAATTACCCTCTGGAACCAGGTGTTCTGAGGAAGTTCCTGGAACCTAAAGTCAGAGGGAACGCTAGGCCTAGCTTTCTGAAAAGCAAAACTCATCCCCTGATCCATCCAGGTGAGTGCCACCTCTTAAAACCCTCCTGTGATCATGGGTACTGGAGAACAAGGAGGAAGACTAACAGAGACGTAGTTCCTCCCACAGGAATCCTGCAGAAAGCTTCCTCGTTTTCTTTCTAGTCCTCCCTGGGAAAAGGCTAGACTTAGGAACATCAGATGATATCTAGAAAACACACTTGGTTTTTCCCACTGTTTAGATTTTAATGCTCTCTCATCCCTTGCTTTTATTTACAGATTAACTCACTCTGCCCTTAAGCCAAGGCAATCAAAGGAGATAATTTCATGTATGCAGCTGAGGGGGGGAGGGGAGCCAGAAAAGAAATCCTCAAGAAAATTCCTTAGTTAACATCCAGGCAGATACAACAAATCGGGCAACCAGAAGAGGAGGCCAGGAAGAGCTCCTCCCGTAGCTTTCCAGGATAACTGCAAAGCTCAGCCTCCTCTCAGGCAGGAATGAATGACCCCCATCCAAAGTTCTCACAAGGCCTGGCTTCAAGAACCAGGAACTTCAAACGCCTGAATCGGACCTGAAATTTTGCTTTTGACTTCACATTTCTTCCCTCTGTCGTGACACTATCTGGTAATTAAGATTACCACTGGAAGGTGGGAGGAATAAGAAATTCCAGGACCAGCTTCTGAAAGGCTTATACTCTCCCCCTTCTGCTGTATACATTCTCAGAAGTACTCCCAGAGAGGTCACAGCGCACCCATAGCACACACCACTATATCCCAGGAAGTGTGCTGAGCGGAAATCAGTGTACACTGGGTTTTCTCAAACCCCCTTTAAGAAGCTAAACCATTATGTAAAGCATGCTCAGCAAAACGAGGGCCCCCATGTCATGGATTGAGAGAGAGCACCAGGGCATGGCTCTTCAGGATAGTCTCAATACATGAAACTAATGGCCAATTTTTAAAAAGGGGAATAAGGGACCAGCAGATGGTGTAATGGTTATGTCTCTGGACTCCCATGTAGACAACCATGGTTTAAGTCTCAGACCTGGCGGTTGGAAACTCACACCAGGTGCATGTGCATGCATGCCCAAAATCCTGAGAGGAGACTAGAGGAGAAGGGACTGCAGTATGGCCATGCCCTGCAGGGGAGAGGGGAGTCGTCTCACTTTCTATCTCTCTGTCTCTGTGTCTCCTGTAAGTATAAGCACCCTACAGCAAAAACTTCTCTCTAAAAAAAAAGGGGGGGGGGGACATCCCTTTGAAAACC